CTACTCTACTACTCTCTCTCTCTCTCTCTCTCTCTCTCTCTCTCTCTCTCTCTCTCTCTCTCTCTCTCTCTCTCTCTCTCTCTCTCTCTCTCTCTCTCTCTCGCTCTCTCTCGCTCGCTCGCTCGCTTTAATGCCGTTTCCCTCAAGTCTAACGCGGAAGAAAACTTTTACACCTTCGGATATACCGACTTCTCGGCGAGAAGGAAACTCGCGATATCGCGCGATATACGGTTTTAAATGTATATACGGTTATAAATTTCCTTAAAATCGCCGGCAAACAGATTGAACGCGCATCAAGAATATCAAGCTGTAATTAACGCGCGACAGAGGAAAAAACTTGAAAGAGTCAGGTGACGAAATCGATTTCCCTCGGCGATGATAACATTGTAGAATTTCTACACGACATGTGTGACGTGATAATCACACTTCCTTATAAATTTTCGTAAAAGTGTTTCACGCATAAATATGCAAAAGAATTTTGTTACACGAAAATGCAAGTTTAAATCGTAAAACATATATAAATGTAAAAAGCAATTTGTATCAAATTTTTTTTACTAAAATTTCATAGGAAATCAATATTTGTAATTTTTCAATTTTTAATGTTAAAAATATATTATATAGTAAATGCATTATATCTGCTTATGTTAAATATAAATCGTAATTCTAATATATCAATATTTTATTTATATAAAATTATAATATCCAAAGTGCTTTTACAATTCTTCTTTTATAAATCTTTATAAAACAATCATTTTTTTTAACTATTAACATTATTTTCGCTTCAATCATTAATATTTAAAATTGAAAAACAAAATTGGGATAGATGATTTATCTGAAAATAAAAATAATTTAAAAGTTCATCTAAAAAAGTTTTCTTCCGTTAATATGTGCGAGCTGACTAAAATATATAATGCACATAAAACGCAATCTTTTTTTCTGTCGAAGCAGTGGGTGACGAAAAAACAAATGTAAGCGAGTATAATCTAGCGGATATAATCTCTAATATAACTTCTGAGTGCAGCACTTGTTGCGTGAAAGAAAAGAGTACTTTGATATGAATCCGGTATGAACTTTTATAAAGCCATTATATCATTAAAATCCGCACGAGCTGAACACGAAACGCAAATACACGTAACATAATAGGTAAGAGTATTATTATTGTTTTTAATTGGAGATAATATCAAAGTAGCAGCATACTATCAAGTGTTATAGTATGAAACTTGTATGATCATGATAATGTATGATAACGTTATGCAATTGCCTCGTTATATTAAAAGAGCATAAAGTCTCCTCTTCTGCTTCCATTATATTACATAGTATTAAAAAAATCTACATATCATCTTTACATATTCTTTACAAGAGTCAGTGACACGTTTTTAATGAACAGAGCTATTTTTAAATAACAATAAAGATGTCACGTTATCGAGAAACATCAACTCTTATAATATAAAACATCAATATTCAACATTATAATTAATTTAGTCTCAGTATACTTTCTGAATGTCGTTCGTATGTAATAATATAAATATATGTACGGAAAATCTTAAAGATGTAATTTAAGAAGTCTCGACTACAATTTTTAATGTAAAACTAGTATCCTTGAAAACACGGAATGATACAGAAAACCAAGGAAATGATAAGTTGAATAGAGTTGAATAGATAAATATCTAAGGTCAGAACTCGTTGCTTGGAATGTGAATGAAATCTAGATTTTACAAGAATGTCTAGCTTTTGAAGCTGTCTGATGCTGTAAATTATTGAGATAGGCGCCGGTGCACTCGAAACTTTAGAAAACGTAACATAATTCCTGTATGACGATCTGATTACAGAATGAACTTTAAGTTGAATTCATTTGCTGTATTAATACGTTTCCGCATAACAAGTAACATAAAATTTTCACGAATGTTACATTTATAAAAAAAATTTAATTCTGTGTGAAAAAAATTCTGCAAAAATCTACTAAAAAAATGTTCTGATTTTTTACCATACTTTGTTATTTAATAATTGTGCCAACTATTTCGCTTTGCCACATACCATAAAATATATTTTTAATTAAAACTCTTTAATGCATCTAGAGAGCATCACCGAAAGATTATTATCAACTCTCCGCATACGATTCGCTGCAGCTGGACGCAGTCTAAAATTTCTTTGATGTTTTCTCTCTACGTAAACGTACGTCTTGGCTCTCTTCGAAGGAGTAAACATCAAACAAAAGTTCCTACCGTCGTTTTCTCGCGCGAGAAGCTAAAGGATGAAAATATTCGCGGCACGGAGATTATGCCAAGGAATTTCTCACCGTGTTACAACATAATTAAATAATGAGCGCCTCCCCTTTAAGGCGCCGATAATTTCCTTGGAAATTGTATTATTATTTTCTCGTCTCTCACTTACCCCAACGTGGAGAGGAATCCGGACACATTTCCCTCGGCGTAGAGGCTGACGATGTCGCCGAGGTGAAGGAAACTCGCGGATCCTAGAAGCTCTCCCATCTCGATGCCGTAATCCTCAGTCTCTTTCGTTGCCTCGAAGTCGGAGATACTCCCGAGCTGGCCGCTTTAGCCGAGTGAATTATTCATGGTTATATATCTGAGAAGAGATAATTTATATAAATTATATTTATAATTTATTTATTATTAATATTAGAGAAAATCGAAGTAAATATATAGATGATCAGAATTATTTCCGATCGGATTATTCATCGTCCAGAGGAAATATATATTATTTACATAAACGTATTTTTCCTTCTTTTCATTTCGCAATGATAACATCTATACATATAATTGAAATAACAGTAAAGTCTTAAATGTTAAATGGACAGTTTAATATTTATTATTAGATGCACTTTTGCAATTTTTGAAACGCTTAAAAACTCCCTGTTAATTCAAAAAGTTTATGTCAGTTATAAATATGATGTAATTGAAAAAATGTAATATTTGTTGAAATATATATTTGTTCTTATTATTGATCTTATATTTTTTTCATCAAAGGAAAAAAGTAATTCAGCAAGCTCTCAGATTGCAATCGCCCAAAGGATTTTCTTGGGAACGTATATTGTTCCATCATTGTTTGTTCAAGAAACGCACATGCAGTTCGAGGAATAAGAATGGAAAGTATGGGAATAAAGCTTTTCATAACGCAAAAATGCAACAATAAACATTGTATATTCTCTTTAAACGGAATGTCTAAATATTTTTCTAATTGTGTTCGCTTAATATTACATTCGTAAATCTTTTCTCTCGTAAACCGCACACTTTTGCATTGCTCGTACTATTTATCATTAAATTCGCCAAAGTAAGACCACGAATAGAAATTCTTGGAAAGAAAAAGAATTACGTGAAAAATTGCTATTTTATAGACTGTTAGAAATATTTGGACGCAGAAGTATATCATATAAGTATAACACAGAAATATAACATATTATAACATAGAGTCGCAATCGACGAACGAGACTTAATTGCTCAATGGTGCCATCGTAAATTGCTAGATGAAGTTATCCGTCTAATAGATCCGAGACGATGCCGTAATCGGGTCATGAGATTTTTTCCTTTCGTCTCTATTATTAACGCGAAATTCCACACGACAATCTCTATGTTGAGACTAAAATTACTCGAAGTTTGTCGAGCGTGGCAATTAGCTATTTGTTTCCGGATAGAAGCGCTCCTGCAACACTGTGCTAATTTCCTTCGCTCGAACATCTGAGACGTTATTCAAGGCAAATGTTAAATGTGTATTTGATTCTTATCTGATATATAAAATATAGGCATTATAGCAGATAATATAAAGAATCGTATCATGCATTCGATACTAAATAAAGATCTTAATACAGCAATTTCCATAACTGCAAATCTTTAAATTATCTGGAAGGTTAAAATCTTCTCGTCGAATCTTCTCATTTGATTGACAAGAGAGATAAGATATCGCGTTATATGTTGCATAGCGAAAGAAAATTCTATATGAAATCGGTCGCAATCATCTGGAAATAATCTACCGACAAATCGTGATACGGCTTTCCGATAAATTGATTTACTTTAATCGAGTGTCTTCGAACAGAGGCAGACTTTGTCCGAGCTCTACTCTTTAAATTAAATTGACCCTTAACCTTAATGTCCACATAAACAACCATAACCGTGGGCACAATCGTCAGGTTCACTTTTACAGGAAATCAATAAAACAAGTCCTGATATTGACAACCATTGTGATATGACCGAAATACAATTTAGATTCCACAGGGAGAAAATAAAAAAACATAATGAGACTTAGATAATCAATAATACTTGATTTTTTAAAAATAATTATTAATTTTAATAATTATTTATTAGTTCTAATTAAATTCTTGTTTACTAGATATCATACTTATCTTCACGTTTTTATCGTATAAAGCGTGATAAAATTTTATTTATATTTATCGGAAAGTAAAATATATCGAGAATATTTTTATATATGTGTCTGATTAAAACGTGCGTTTTTTCTAAAAAATAATAAAACAATTAAAAATCTGCATTGTATATTTAAAATGTAAGACATAACATGTTTATTTCTTAGTAAAAAAAAAAAAAACAAAAATTAAGCAACTGCTCATATATCTTCTGTTTGTTATCTTATTCACAGATGTATGACGCGCTATTTTTAGACGTCATTCATAGAAAAGCTATTCGAAAGAATCATGTATGTCTCTTTCTTACTTTGTGAGTTTCAGTCATAAAATAAATAAATTCGACCGCAGAAGTCAATGAGCACTACATTATATACCAAGGAAGTTTTATCATCACGAGATATGCGATTACATTTTATAATTCTCAAACCTAATAGTAACAGAAGAATTTTATATTGTTTGAATTTTTATATTGAATTTTTATATTGTTTTTCTTTACTATTTATATCAATTAATTTATATTAATATTTGCCAACCTTACGTAAAAAAAATTAATCAATTTCTCCTAATATGCGAAAATATCGCAAACTTATAAATGTCTCTCAGAAATTATTATTTTTGAAAAGGAATAAGCTGGTACGAAATAAAATCTGCAAAGTCAGTTTTGTATCAAAATACATAAAGATCTTAAAAATTTATCTTAATGGATAATTATTAATATCACTTTAAATATCTCATAAATGCCACAGTAATTGAAATTTGAACTTTTTGATCATGAAAATGTGAAATATCTCATCCAAACTATACCAGTAATAATTAATGTTGATGTAATCATTAAAACGTTTATTAAATGTTATAATTACAAATATTAATTAATAATCTTAGCAATATAAATTACTTATAATTTTCCAGCAATTTCATTATGTGTTTATAAACTTATAAAATTATAAATACATAATGAAACATTTATAATGAAACATTTATAATTTAATATTTATAATTTAATATTTATAATTTTATCTTTTATATAAGACATTTACCAGAAAGTAAATTCTATTTAGCTTATTACAAATATAAATCTAGTTTAATATAAACCATGGAAATAAATAGCGGATATTGGCGTCATTAAAAAACAGGATGTATTAAAAAAATAATAAACATGTAAACACACACGTATATTCAAATTGTCGGTACGATTGTGTAATAATTTTTTTAATAATATAATTTATGATCAATTATCAGATAAAATTGTAACATCTAATCGCTAATAATACAGTGTGCAATTTATTTTTTATACAGCATAAAAAAAGTTATCAGTTTAAGCGCTCTCTCTCTCTCTCTCT